ATTCTTGGACTGCTGATACCCACCTGCTCTTCCTCTCCGGAAAGTCCTGCTCCACGGACTCCATCACGGTGTGGGATGGCCCTGCCTGCACCGTGCTCACTGTGCCGAGGTCTGCCAGGCTGTCTGCGGACTGGGTTCCCATTTGTGATGAGACAGTAGAGAATCATGGAATTAGTGTCTCCCCATTGACCCTGGCCAAGGTAGTGGCTGAGCAGAGAGGATGTTGTAGATGGGAACATGGACCCCAGGTTCCTTTGGGAGCAGGACCATGGGCCCACTGGTTACCAAGCTTTGGAGGAGATCTTGTAGTTGTTACTTAGCCCCAAAGGCCCTCTCATTTCTCTTCTGCTCCCACACAAGCTACACCCAAGCTGGCATCTGTTGTTGTGGAGCCCCAGTGTCTGGCACAGGCCATGGCACACAGCCCCCAGCAATGAGCTCCAGGAGGCATCCTGTATACAGCTGTGTTGGGATAGAGCCCAGCAGTTGGCAGGGAAACATGAGGCTGTTTTAGACCACAGTTTGTGCTGGTTTTGTCCCAGACAAGTAGCACTGGCACAGGCTGACCTCTTCAGGAGGACAGGAGATGACAGGCTGGGGACAACCACTTGGGCACTGCCTTTCTTCTCCTGCCAGCCCAGTTCAGGATGTGAAAGTGACAGGAGGCTCACAGCCTCCTAACACCTGCGCCTATCTGGGACTTCACTTGGTACTCTATCCCGCTCCCATCTCCCACACAAACACACTGAGGATGAAGTGTTGGAGTTGTACAGGGGACTTACGGAGGTGGCCAGGTCTATATAGATCTGTACTGGACTCGGTGTCTCAGAGCAGATGAAGTTCTGGCCTAGGGACACCTTCCCTGGGCTCCCTCTCATCTCTGGGCACCTGGTGAATGGGTCTGGGGAGACCTGCCCTGTGCAGTCCGTGACTGTTGGGCAGCTCCTGGTGAATGTTCTGAAGCATCTGGGGCAAGTGAACCATCTTCTCACTCGTTGCCAAGTGCTTTCCTTTCGTGGGGTCCTGGGCCTGCGGCCTTGAGGTCTGGGAAAGCAGCACAGCATGTTCGCTGCTAACTGTCTCCAGCCAAGTGACCGGGGAGGCAGTTGTCTCAAGTTCTGTTTGGACCCATCGCCAAGGAAGTGAGGTCACATGCTGGGGTCAAAGGCTGAGCCCCCCCTCATAAGAAGAACCTTTCTGATAAGCTTGACCCCCCCTTATAAGAAGAACCTTTCTGATAAGCTCCCTCCCTCCCTCTCTTTTTTTCTTTCCTTTTCCTCCCTCCCTTCCTTCCTTTCTTTTGGAGTAGGAAAAATTTCTTGTGAGAAATATAGCTTCTGTGTATGAGGGCCACACAGGTGTGCCTTTCTTTTCATGATGAAAGAAATCTGTGTTCTCCTTAGAAAAAGAAAGTGAAAACCTAGAAAAGCTGTGTGATTTTAGACTCTGGTGAACTTTTAAGATTTCGTGCAACAAATACATAGATGGTTAAGATGTGGCAGGCACTTTGCAAAGTGTACTTTTCCATCCAATGGGACCGTTCTCTCTGAAGATGCCGTGCTGGCTGTCATCACTTAGAGATGTGTGACATTTTAGTATGATTTTCTTTTCTGGGTTAATTTCAGTTTTATTTATTTATTTTTAAAAATTTCAGTTTTTTTCATTTCTGCTCTCAAATATGGAGATAGTCCAAAAATGTCCATAATAATTTTCCTTAGTGGATAGGAAAGGTTTCAGTATGAATCCCTGCATCTTGGGCATAGAGGATCCACAGCAGGTTTTAACTTTCCGGTGCCTATGCATGCTTGCTTATTCATGTTTACATGTTTAACTCAATCACACACTAGTACTCAATACTATGACAGTGTCTGAGGAGAGACTATCCACTGATCCTTGGGGTGCCAGCAGAGAGAAACAGTCCTTTGATTTCGGATAGCTGCATATGCAGAGTCTCCTGTGAGCATATCCCAGGTTCCAAGAGGGCCTGGGAGGAAAGCCAGGCACCGGGTAGGGGAAGTTAGGTATGGGAAGAGCAAAGGCGTGACAGCAAGGGACTGGGCCAGAGTAGGTCCATGAGTGCCAGGGTGGTAGCACTGGGGAGGTAGCACTCGGACACAGTCTGTGGATTCCCAAAGGGTGCCCTTTGCTCACCCTAGTGCAGTTGCATTAGGAAGAGATCTCTCTTGATCAATTCAAGAGGGACCCAACTGACTCCCACATAGGCCAAGCAGCCACTCACATCAAAACCCCTCCCTCCCATCTGTGAGTTCTACAAGCTCCTTTCCTGCCCTTGCTGTGCTACTCACCTCATGAATGACATTCACCTCCATTAAGGCACCACGCAGCAAGAGTGCCACACAGTGGCAGAGCCCATGAGAGCAGCCTTGGGAGGCGTCGTGCTTGGCCTGGCCTCTCTCTGTCTCTCCGATCCAGTGCTTCAGTTTATGCTCAATGTGAAAATCCCCCCTCACAGTGTCATGGGACCAGGGGGATTACAACGACTGCAGCATGTGAAACCGGGTCTGAAAGATGTTCCTGCCTGTGTCTTTTGTCTAGGGGGGATGACACCTATAAAGCCACAGTCAGGCAAGCTTGCTGAGGAAGATGGCGTCCCTTGCCTAGGAGATTTGTTCCCAGTTCCAAATCATGACGGGCAAGACCCTCAATGTGTGGGGGGTGACAGTGGTGGAAGTGGGCACCTGTCCTTCATGAATTCCTTTGAGGGGAACCCAGGGTACAGGCATCGAGTTGCACTTTGGGATGAGATGTGTCCCTGGAGTCAGGGCACAAAGCCCCTGGTTTTATTGGCCACTGAAACTCGTTATGTGTTTGGTAGGAAAGGGACTGTCATGTGGTGGGTTAGAGTAGCCAAAAGGAAGGAGGTGCTCAAGGGATACTGAAGTCAAAGGCAAGTGTTCAGCACTCCCACATTACAGGCTCCCGACTAGAAAGCATTTTGCAAAGTTGTTAGGTAGGAAGTGATAGGTTAAGCACCTGTGTTTCCAGGGGTGGAAGAAAGAAGCTACTGATTGCTTATACCCCATTCAAACTGCTTCTTTTCAGTTGAGGTCTTCTGGAGAAGAGTTCAAGGAATTGGTTTTATCCAGCCAAAATTCACAGCCTCTCTTCTCAGTGACTTAGACATCTAGATGACCTGGCACATCCTAATCAAATTATAAAGCAGGTATGTAGGCCCATACCTATAATCCCAGCACTCTATGAGACTGAGTTGAGCAGATTACAAATTTGAGCCCAGCCTGGACAATTTTGAGGCTTTAATAGGATCTTCTTTCAAAATACAGGATGGGAGGGTGATGAGGCTATAGAACAGTCCAAAGGCCATCGGATTCATACCCAGTACTGAAAGAAAATCACATTGTAGTGTTGAATTCCCTATCCCACCCAAGTGTGATCCCATCTACCAATTTTAACCATGCAGTGTATAAAGTAGCATAATGTGGGATAGGATCCCATGTGTTCAGGGATGTGCCCGCCTCTGCATGTGATCACCATTCTTCCAAATGCAAATGTGATGCCTGTGCAGTAAATTAGCCCTCCCCCTGTATTTGAGAGATGCTGTTTTGGCAGTTACCCCCAGGGCTGTCCTTGCTGCAAGCAGCAAACCTTGTTCACACCTGGGGTGGAGTATATATTGGCTTGAATTCACCAAGGGGAACCCTACTCTGTTGCTTTACAAAGTTTCATTACAGAGTCAGAAAAACAAAGGGTTTGGAGGTCAGGTGGTCTGCTAGGGTTTGGGGGGATTGTCATGACTAATCTTGGGAAAAGTCTCCCATTATCTTGCCTCTCAAGCAGTCAGAGAAAATGAAGGGCACCTGCCCCCTAAGAGGGCAGCAGGCATCCTGGATTTCTGAAGATCTAGGGAAACTTCAGCCAGAGATGGCTTAGCTCCCAGATATTTACTTGTTAATTGTGAGGTCACCTTGGCCACCATCCTCCACAAAATCAGTGCCCTAAGGAAAAGCATGGGGCAGGAGAGGCATCTGCCGCCCTTGCTTGTATTCTGAGCTGGCTGAATATAAAAGTCAGGCTCCCCAGGACACCTGCCAGGCCACTCTTTTCTGCCTGTTCACAGGTAGCCTGGCAGTGAGTGAAGGGCCCTAGAGCAACCTCCTCTGGGCAGAGCCTTCACCTCCTGCCAAGAACTTAACCACCAGCTTGCGTCTGTAGCCTCTTGGCCTCAGAGCCCCTTACCTCCCTGTATCTTGCCTGGGATGGGGTGCATGTTCCAGGTGACAGACACCTCAAACCACTTGTCATGAGAGAAGGGTGGAAAGCTGTGATAATGGAAGTTGTGACTTTGTCAGAGCAGATCCTGAGGAGAGAAGCAGGGCCGTGTCAGGTTGCCAACCACCTGTAGCCTTGGCGGAGGCCATTTGACTGGATAATGCCATGCCATGCGCAGACTGGGGTAAAGTTTTTTCCTCCAAGTGCTGGCTGCCCTGTGCTGCCACTGGTACTTGGCCTTCACGAGAGGCCAGGTTGATCCCTGGTTCTGTGTCCACAGGATTTCCCCAAAAGGAGGAGCTGTCGTTTTGTTGTTCAGTTGGGATCCCCAATAAGGGCTGAAGCCGAGTTTCTAGAATTGACACCTGGTATAAATTTGCCCGTGTCCCAAACCACGTGGGTATGTGCAATGTCACAGGCTTGGGCAAAGGCAGCACTGCCCACTGCATGGTGAGTACCCAAGACCGAGAAGTGAGCTGCCAGCTGGACTGTAGATGACCTTGGAGATGGCAGGAGACTGGAAGATGATGGTTTTGGAAAGAGCAGTGGTATCTGTGTGTTCCACCTCAGAG